TACGTTACGTCTTACGTTACGTCTTACGTTACGTCTTACGTTACGTCTTACGTTACGTCTTACGTTACGTCTTACGTTACGTCTTACGTTACGTCTTATGTTACGTCTTCATAAAACGTAAGACGCAGCGTAAGACGTAAGGTAACGGTTCTGTACATTATTCGCTGTACGCTGTCTACGCCGCATTATTTCTGCCGCAAATCTTAATAATCCCAACTTCAAAATCACTTACTTCAATTTTTGTATGCCAATTAAATTCCTAAACAGGGGGTTGTTTTTCAGTTAACACGAATTACCGCCAACAATAGACACTTTGCTCGAGGCCACTCCTGCCGCCCCTTTGTTGACAGTGCACCCAAACCCAAAACAGAGCTAAATGAAGTAATTTCTAGAATGTTTATACAGCCACCAAGCCTTCTGGTGGTCAATCGAACTTTCTACGGTGCACACATTAGTGCTATTACACCGACACCATTGTTTAAATCCAGGTACCAGTTGGTCAGTGCCTCGGTCCCTCTTATGTTCAGTGTTCAGTGTTGCGGGTTTGCATACCATTTCATGCCGCAGTGGCCAAGACGCAATATGGGCTGACAGCATAGGCCAAGCACACCCCGTACAACTAAAAATGTTTACTTCATTATTTACATTAGGATATATAATTTAGTTTTATCATGGGTTCGTTTCGCAGTTTACACGAAGTGTTAACGTTGTTTTATTTGTTTGCTTGCTGGCCCTGTTTGCCTGCACCCGAAAACACCCTAGAACACAGTAGGTAGGTCTGCAAATTTTGGGGTCATTTTGTACTATTAACAGACACAATCAGCATTGACCTCTTGGTAAAGAGGAAGTTGGGAATTTTTGATGACTGAAACTACAGAAAGCAAGGAACTGCAATAAAAACAAGTAGGTAACAGGTAATCACAACACTGTCTTGCTTTCCAAAACGCGAGTTTATAGGCTCCCAAAGGTCCAGGGCTCCGTGATATATGCAAGAACAGATGTTAGTTACTCAAAAAAAAAAAAAAAACAAAAAAAAAAACATGTAAAATTAAAAGTTAAAGTTATCGAAGCTTTTCTGGTCAGTGGAGTAATGGGCTTCGCTAATCGCTCAGCCAAAAATCTACACGCCGCGTCAATTTAAGACTCAAGATGTAAATGAAAGTCTATTGAAAGCATAAATTGACGCCAATTTTGCACAGAAACATGCTCATCCACGCCTGCAACTGAACGATGCAGTCGTTTTCGGTGTGCACGATTATGCTGCATTGTAAGGGTCTGCGACTGTCAAAAAATTTAAAGTTCTTACTCTTAAAAGATGCCGCTGGTGGTTTACCTAGGGGTTTTGGAGATTTCAAAATGGAAGTCCATACTCTCAATAAAGCTTTAGTTCTAAATCAATGCGGTTGGTGGTTCTTATGTAGTGGCAATTTCCCCAAACCCTTCATCTCACAGGTTTACCCGAGGAGGCAATAAGTCCCTTTTGTTGTGTATGTTACGGTAAAAGCCCGAGGACCGGTAAATCCGGGCTTTTCCCGATCAAAGCCCGATTTAACCGATGCCCCGCGCTAAATGCTGCTTTTAACATCAAAAATCGGGCTTTAACCGGTCAAAGCCACAAATATGTTTTATAGAGCAGCAGTTACCGTTGTGATTTGGTGAATGCTGGTATAGAATGTGACAGGAATGAAGTGGGAATAAGCTTCATTGTGCTCATCCTCTTTGCTTTACACCGTTGATTTGTTTTAGTCAAATGTATTAAACGTGCGCAACATGAAGCAAAAACTTTACACGGGTGCAAGGGCGAGGGTAGACCGGAGGAAGGCAGCGACAACCAATTTTTGAGTGGTAACAAGGTCTCGCGTCTCGCGTTACAGGCTTCGCGATATCTCACGAAACACTGTTACGCTGCGACGCGCCTGGCATACATCTGCCTTGGCCTGAAGCGCTGACACCCGAGTCGGGTAGTGAAAAAATGTACACAAAGATAAGTGCCTCCGGCCCGTCAACGGCCCGTCGCTCTGACTAAGCGTCAAAAACACCCTCTAGCGCCTCAGCGGTTTGAGCTAGGGCAAAACAAAGAACATTTTCGCCCAGGGCTCTACTTTGATGACAACCATAAAAAAATATGTTTAAAAAAACGTCATTATTGGGACCCGTTGTCTTTGATTTTTTAAAAATCCAATTTTTGAGCTAGAATGCTGGGCTGTTATCAACATGCAGCCGAAAATGGCACAGTTGGTGTTGAACCATGGCGCTGCTCCCCACTTTCTGGTAGAAACGGGTTCGTTTAAAAACTCGCCAAGCAACTTTTTGTAAAAGTGTCCTCACATGTGTTTGCTTCAAGGTGGGTATATAATCCGTGTAACATGTGATAAAATCAGCCTCTTGAGCCTCACTTCTCGCACCTCGCTCACCTCTCACAAACAATTTACCTTGTTTTACTTACTAGGTAGATGTACGCCAGACCACGTCTCGCGTAACAGGCTTCGCGATATCTCACGAAACACTGTTACGCTGCGACGCGCCTGGCATACATCTACCTAGGCCTGCGGCGCTGACACCCGAGTCGGGCAAAAGGCAGAGTCGCAGATAGGCCTTCGGCACCAAAGGACACAAATTTTACCCCCAGGATTTTATTTTGACGAGTTGCCCCACCAGAGTCCATCAAATAGCTGAGAAACAACATTTAAATGGTTTGGGGTCATTTTCGTGTTAAAATCGACCTCTGGCGACTAAACGGTTAGAGATAGAGCCAAACGGACAAAATTTTAGCCCTACGGGCTCTACTTTGACGAGTTACATCTTAGAGAGATGTAAAAAAAAAAATAAAAATTAGAAGTAATATTTTGGGGTTTTCGTTTCTGATTTTTTTGACAGGTCAATTTTCAAGCTAGAGGGCTCAAAATCAATACCGTTCTTGCTTTTTATGCTACAAAGCTACGCTAAAAATTTCAGATACCTAGCTCAACCCGTTCTCGAGTTATCGTGTTTACAGACAAACAGACAGACAGACACACAGACAGACAGACAGACACGAAACTTTTTGATCATCACTGGAGTAATAGGCTTCGCTATCGCTCAGCCAATAAGTCGCAGTACTTACAGCAATTGGATTAATTCGCTGGCAGTGAGGTTGAGAAACAAGTGACGCTAAAATACCTAATAAGAGAATCATGTCGTGGATCACTGGAACAAGCCTGGTTGTCTGCACCCTGTACAGAAATACATGAATAAAATAAGACATCTCTGCAATAAATTTACAACAAATTACACAACTTATAGTATTTTCCTTGGTCTTTTCCAAATTTACTAAAATCTGAGTGGTTTTCGGCATATGCTGCTGACAGTATCAGCTGCTTGTACAGCAGCTATTGCAAACAAGATAAAGAAGACAGAAGGAGAGTTGGGTAGCGTTGCTCGTTGTAAGTGACCCGTTTACCCCCATTTACCCCTAGTTACCTAGCCTTACCCCTACTTAGAACAAGAAATATATAAGCTGAAGAAGGCAGCGGGGTAAGATGGGCAGCGTTGCTCGTGGTTATCAACCCCTAATTGGCTGAGCGATAGCGAAGCCTATTACTCCAGTGATGATCAAAAAGTTTCGTGTCTGTCTGTCTGTGTGTCTGTCTGTCTGTTTGTCTGTAAACTAACGTTGTTTTATTTGTTTGCTTGCTGGCCCTGTTT